CCCCCCGCCCCGGTCTGGCCCGGCGAACCGACCAGATCCCTCTCCGCCCCAGCCGCTCACCAGTACTCCACTACGATGTGGACTCCACTGCCCGCTTCCACCTCCCCGGGAGGGGGCGCTACGGACACCTGCCCCGGCTCCCCACTCATTGCTGCCCGCTCAGGTCCAGAAGCTGCTTCCGGGTGTGACGCGACACCGAGGGCACGTGATGGGGCGTGGGTATGGGCGTGGCGGGCCGCGCATTGTGTCCGGGCGCCCCCTGCAGGCGGTGGCTAGTGCTGCGCTTTGGTTCTGAACAGCTGTTGGAGAGCGCCCGGCATCCATTGTCCACAGGGCATCATGGATTTGCTTCATCAATGAACTTTGATTGCAGAGAGCTTTACCGCAAGCAGCTGGGGCTGGGGCTGAGGTGGCGGGTGGTTTGTGATAGTTGCCATTTCTCGTTTGCGTGCTGACGGCATGTGAAACCACCCCACAGTTACACACCCGAGTTTTGCTTAAAATTATTATTGCATTTCTTTATTTGTATGAAGGTGCAGGGGAGGTGGAGGCGTGCGCCATGGCACACGTGTGAAGGTCAGAGTACAACGTTGGGAGTTGATTTTCTCCTTCCATCATTTGGGTGCCTGGGATCGAACTTAGATCATCAGGCTCTGCCGCAAGCGCCTTTACCCTTATTTTGCTGGCCCCATATACAAATTTTCTCGACTCCGAAGTGCTAAGTGGTTCCTTTTTCAGTCTTTTCCATTGCCTCTTCACTGCAGTAGAGCATCCCAAAGGAAAGGAAGTGTGGGTGCCTCACACTGTGTGCCTCTACCCTGCACACTGGTCTTACCCTAGCTTCTTCCTAGAGGGCTGGTATCATACCCATTTTGCAGCTCTCCAAGTAGAGGCAGCCTCTTTCTTCCTTAAAGTACTGCTATAGGAACCTAGCAGGTGTCCCTTTAATCTGTTCATTGCATGTTCAATTGTTTGTTGAGTTCTAGTCATCCCACAATCCAGTTAACAATCAAATAAGGTCTCTCCTGTCTGTTTGCAGGGCAGCCAGCTTCCAATTCTGGCCCTAAACAATTGCTTATCAGCTCAATCTATAAAATTTTCTGGGTATTTCACATGAATGGAATCATACAACAAGTGACCTTTTGCTCTGGCTTCTTTCTTGCTGTATAATTCTCCATTCAGAAGTGTGTACCAGGAGTTTCCTTTTTCATTGCTGGGTAGTATTCCATTGTACTGATGGAGCATATTTTATTTATTTTTCTATTGGCAGAAATTTGGGGTTCTTTTTTTAAATCTATTTTGAATAATGCTGCTATGAATGTCATGTAGGTGCCTGTGTGTTGCCATTTCTCTTAGGCAGATTCCTAGAAGTCAAGCGATTGAGCTGGCTGGGAAGCTTATGTTTAACCATTTAGGAAATTGCTTGACTGTTTTTCAAAGTGGCTGTATCATTTTACATTCCTAACAGCATTACAGCATACTAGGATTTTTTTTTTTTTTTTTTTTTTTTTTTTTTTTTTTTTTTTTTTTTAAAAAAAAAAGAGGACGATAAATCTTTCACTGTGATATATCAAAATAAGGCCTTGAACTCACAGAGATCTTCCTGCCTCTGCCTCCCAAGGGCTGGGACTAAAAGCATGCGCCACCACGCCTGGCATGGATTCTTTTTTTTTAATTAAAAATATTTTTAAAATTTATTTTATGGACTGGAGAGATGGCTCAGCAGTTGAGAGCACTGGTTGTTCTTGCAGAAGGCCGGGGCTTGAATCTCAGCACCTACATGGTAGCTAACAACTGTCTGTGGCTCCAGTTCCAGAGGATCCTCCATGGGCACTGCACGACACGGGTGCACTTTCCTACATGCGGGCAATACACACATACACATGGAAATAATAATAAAATATATTTTGAAATTTATTTTATGTGTATGAGTGCATTGCCTGCATGTATGTAAGTGCACCCATGTTGTGCAATGCCTGTGGAGGTCAGAAAAGGGCATCAAATCCCCTGGAATTGGAGATAAGACAGTTGTTAGCTGCCATGTGGGTGGTGGGAACTGAACCCAGGTCCTCTGCAGGAGCAGTCACTGCTCTTAACCAGCCCCAGATTTGCTTTTTTAGAATCATCACAAATACTTGTTGCCTGTCTCTTTTTAAAAATTATTTATTTATTAACTGGGTGTAGTGGTGCACACCTTTAATCCCAGCACTCAGGAGGCAGAAGCAGACACATCTCTGTGGGATCAAGGCCAGTCTGGTCTACATAGTGACTTCCAGGCCAGCTGGGGCTACAGGGAGACCCTGTCTCAAAAAGACCAAAAAAAAATTTATTTATTTATTTATTATTTATTTTATTTTATTTTATTTTATTTGTATGAGTGTATTGCCTGCGTGTGTGTAAGCGTACCCGTGTCCTGCAATGCCTGCGGAGGTCAGAAGGTGTGAGATTCCCTGAAACTGGAGTTATGGACAGTTGTTTGTCACCATGTGGGTGCTGGGAATCAAACCTAGGTCTTCTGCAAGAACAGTCAGTGCTCTTAACTGCTGAGCTATCTTTGCAACCCCCTATTTATTTTTATTTAATGTGTATGAGGGTCGTGCCTGCATGTCATGTAAGTGCACATGCAATGCCCATGAAGGCCAGAAGAGGGCATAGGATCCCCTGGAACTGGAGTTACCGAGGGTTGTTAGCCTCCATGTGGGTGCTGGTAACCAAATCTGGGTCCTCTCCAAGAGCAGCCAGTGCTTGTAACTATCTAGCCATCTCTCCAGCCCTGCTTTTTATTTTATTCATTTATTTTTATTTTATGTGCGTTTTGCCTGCATGTATGTAAGCACACCACCTGTTGCAATGCCTGCAGAGGTCAGAAGGTGTCAGATTCCCTGGAACTGGAGTTAAGGACAGTTAGACACCATGTGGGTCCTGGGAACTGAACCCAGGTCCTCTACAAGAGCAGTAAGTACTCTTAGCTGCTGAGCCATCTCTCCAGTCCCAGTTGTTGCCTGTCTCTTTGATGAGAACTATTCTAGTAGTTAATGATGTTGGACATCTTTTCGCATAGTCATTAACCATTAATATATATAACTTGCAACGTTTCAAATCTGTCAATCAGTTTTAATTAGGTTACTTATCTCTTTTTTATTGGTATGTAAGAGTTATTTATATATTCTTCATACAACATTGCTAATGAGATATAAGATTTACAAGTATATACCCCAGTATTCAGGCCTCATTCATGGCTAGGAAGCACGGGCTGTACACCGAGCTCCCCTTTCCCCCTTTTCCCAATACTGTTCTTGGAAGTTCATTTAGCCCTTTTTTGAGACAGGGTCTCATGTGAGCCCAGGCTGGCCTTGAACTCTTGATCCTCCTGATTCTACCTCCCAAGTGCTAGGATTACATGAAAAAGCTTACTTTATCATTTTTTTCCCTCTTGATCACTGTGAACTTGTCTCGCTGCCAAGAATGATGGCCTGAGTTCAGTTCCTGGGATCCACATCATGGAAGGAGAGAACTAGCTCCCACAAATTGTTCTCTGACCATCACATAAGTGCCATGTCACCCATCCACCTGTAGTGTATGCATATACATGTACACACACACACACACACACACACACACAAATAAATGAATAAATATAATTAAAACATTTTATAAAAACAAAATTATTTACCTAATCCAAGATTTTTCTCCCTTTATTTATTTTTGTTTTTAAAGTTTTCTTCTGTGATTTGCTTTTATTTATTTATTTTGGTCTTTTTGAGACAGGGTCTCTTGGTAGCCCCAGCTGTCCTGGAACTCACTATGTAGACCAGGCTGGCCTTGAACTCACAGAGATCCGCCTGCCTCTGCCTCCCGAGTGCTGGGACTAAAGGCGTGTGCCACTGCGCCCAGCTTCTTCTGTGATTTTAATCTAAAAGTTTTATAACTCCATTTCTTACATTTAAGTTTATGATCTTTTTAAATATTTCTATTTATTATTTTTATTTTACGTGTGTGAGTGTATTGCCTTCATGTGTATAAGCGCACCTGTGTCATGCAATACCCACAGAGGTTAGAAGAGGGCATCGGATCCCTGGAACTGGAGTTAGGACAGTTGTTAGCTGCCATGTGGGTGCTGGAAATTGAACAGCCAGTGCTCTTAACAGCTGAGCCATTTATCCAGCCCCATGATTTTTTTAAGAAAAAATTTTTGTGGCAGAGTCTCACTATGTAGCCTTGGCTGGCCTGGAACTCCCTTTGTAAAGGAGGCTGGTCTTGATCTCACAGAGATCTGCTTGCCCTTGCCTTCTGAGTGCTAGGATTAAAGGTGTGTGCCACCATGCCTGACAAGTATTACATTTGTGTGTGTGTGTGTGTGTGTGTGTTGTGTATGCTGTGTGTGAGTGTAATTTTAGAGGCCAGAGAGGGCGAAGTTACTTGCACTTGTGAGCTATCAGAGGTGGTTGCTGGGAATTCATCTTAGGTCCTCTAGAAGAGCAGCAAGTACTCTTAACTGCTGAGTCATCTCTACAGCCCCTTATAATCTACTTAGAATTATTTTTTGTGCATCATGTGAAGGAGTCAAATTCATTTTTTGGCATATGAGTATTCAATTGTCACGCCCCTTATTTAAAAGACTATCTTGCCGGGTGTGGTGGCACATGCCTTTAATCCCAGCACTTGGGAGGCAGAGGCAGGCAAATCTCTGTGAGTTCAAGGCCAGCCTGGTCTACATGGCGAGTTCCAGGACAGCTGGGCTACAGAGAGTCATTTAAAAACAAAACAAACAAACAAAACAAAAAACAAAAAAATTTTACTGCTCTCCCAGAGGACCTGGATTCAGTTCCCAGCACCTGCATGTTGGCTAACTAAAAGTATGTAACTCCAGTTCTAGGGGATCCAGTGCCCCTTTCTGGCCTCCGGGGGCACCTGGCACGCATGTGGTGCACATATATAAATACATGCAGGCACACTCATACATATAAAAAAATAAAAAGGACTTCTTTTAGTACCAGGTGTAGTGACACGTGCCTGCAATCCTAACTACTTGGAAGGCAGAGCAGGAAGATTGCTTGAATTCAAGAACATTCTGGGCAGGATAGCAAAACACTGTTCCCCTCCCCCACAAATCCTATCTATGCTCTCATCAAATTGTCTTAGCAATTTTACTGAAACATCTGACTAGAAGTGTAAGGTTTGTGTTTGGATTCTCACTTCTTTTCCATTGATTTGCACGAATGGTTCTTGACTTGGTTCCTTGAATTTTTGACTTTATGGTGGTGTAATTTGAACATTCAGTAGAAACTGACCTTAAATACATGGTAAGTTTGGTATAAGTGTAGTTTCAAATTAAGGTATTTAAAATTTTAAAACTTTATTAGCAGGGCGTGGTGACTCACGCCTTTAATCCCAGCACTTGGGAGGCAGAGGCAGGAGGATCTCTGTGAGCTCAAGGCCAGCCTGGTCTACATAGTGAGTTCCAGGCCAGCTGGGGCTACAGGGAGACCCTGCTTCAAAAAAGACCAAAAAAAAAAAAAAAATCAAGGGACTTGCTGGGCATGGTGGCTCATGCCTTTAATCCCAGCGCTTGGGAGGCAGAGGCAGGTGAATCTCTGTGTGTTGGAGGCCAGCCTGGTCTACATAGCAAGTTCCATGCCAGCTGGGGCTGCAGGGAGACCCTGTCTCAAAAAGACAAAACCAAAAACCAAAAAACAACAAAAAGACACCCAACCAAACAAACTTTATTTATTATTAGTGTGTGTGTGTGTGTGTGTGTGTGTGTGTGTGTGAGAGAGAGAGAGAGAGAGAGAGAGAGAGAGAGAGGGAGAGAGAAAGAACAGCTTTCGAGAGTTCATTCTTTCCTTCCATCATGTGGGTCCCAAGGATTGAACTCAGGCCATCAGGCTTGATGGCCACGTATCTTACCTGCTGACCAGTACATCTGGAAGACCCCCTCAAATCAAGGTATTTTATGGTGGCACAGCCTATAATCCCAGCAGAGGCAGGATGATGGCCACAAGTTCAAGGCCTGCCCCAATTCCGTAGGGAGTTTGAAACCACCCAAGGGTATACATCAAGACCCCGAGTTGTCACCTCAAAAAACCACAGCAACAAAATCCAAAATAATAACAAAAACTAGGTTCTATCCAGATGTAATAGCATCGTAAGACAAGGAGCATCTGTGAATCTATTCCTTTTGAGTGTGCTTTTTATTTTATTTTTGCTTTGTTTGAGATGGAGTCTTGCCATGGTATACCCTAGGCTGGCCTTGAGCTCTCTATCCTTCTGAGTGCTGGGATTACATATTCAGCTTGTGATGACTTTTATTTTTTATTTTTTTTGAGACAGGGTCTCCCTGAAGCCCCAGCTGTCTTAGAACTTGCAGTGTAGACCAGGCTGGCCTCAAACTCACAGAGATCCACCTGTCTCTGCCTCCTGAGTGCTGGGAATAAAAGCATGCACCACCACATCCCATGCTTGTGGTGACTTTTATTTTAAAATTTCAAATACAATTTATATACACTAAAAAGTCATCCTTTGGAGGACAGCATGATGGCTCATCAGGCACTTGCAGCCAAGCTTGACAACATGAGTTCAATTCCATGGTGGAAAGGAGAGAACAAGTTCTCAACAAGTTTTCCTTTGACCTCTATACACATTAGTCATGGCATACATACCCCAGATCCTTCCCCTGACAAATAAATAAATGCAATGAACTTAAAAATATTTCATCCTTTGAGTAGAACTTTTTGTGGGTTCTGACAAATGCACAGCTTTATACATCTACCTCAGGGTTCCAGACAGAATGGCTTCAAAACCTCCCACAAGTCCCAGCACCCCCTACTGCAAACCCCCTCCCTTCCCTCTCCCTAGAACCTCAGATCCTTAAAGTCCTACCCTTTCTAGAAATGAAATCCTGGGGCTGGAGAGATGGTTCAGCTGCTCTTCCAGGGGACCTGAATTCAGTTCCAAGCACGCATGTCAGGTGGCTCGAAACTGCCTGTAACTCCAGCTCTAGGGGATCTGACACCTTCCTCTTCTGGCGCTTACACACACACACACACACACACACACACACACACACACACACACTGCCCCCAAGAAGCTCAGGGACTTTTCTCCACCTCTACCAAACCTGTGCTACCTGCCCAGACTCACCTGGATAATCTCTTTTCCTGTTCACCCTCACTTTCTGCCTCTACATTGTATTCCCTGCACCTCCCCCCCCGCCCCCATAATGGATGGTGGATACCTCCGTTCCCACTCCCCAGACTTTTTCACCTCTATAGAAAGGTCTTCCCTACTTCCTGTGAGTCATTCCCCCAGAATATTTGTCACCTGCCATTTCTTATTAGTGTGATTCTTTAAGGTCCTCTCCCTGACTGGGTTACCACAGGCTCAGGGCGGGTCTGTTTTTGTTGCTTGGCTCCTGTATCCCCAGCAGCAAGCGCGGATCTGCTAGGCGCTTCCACGGTTGGATATACATGTAAACTGTCCTCTTGCCTAAACTGCTTCCTGGCCCAGGTAACCTTGACCCCCTCCCTGACCTCTTTGCTTTGTTCAGGTATTCTAGTTTTTCAAGAAAAAAACAAAAACAAAAACTGAGGCTGGAGTCATTTCTCAGCTTCCCCAGGGCAGACCCCTTAACGCCCCAGGGTTTGTTTTCTCAGCTGTCACCCACTTGAAGCTGGGAGGCAGCCCCTGACTTTGATCTCCGCCTCCCAACCCCTCTTCCTGGTCCTCGAAGTTTGCTGAGGGCTGAACCAGAAAGCCGGAGTTTCTCCTAGAGTCTCTTGCAGCAGGCCATGAGGGTCTGCGCCCCCAATTGGGTGACCCTCCCTCACCCTTCCGATTTGAAAATGGGAAGGCGAGACCCTGGGCTTGGCTGGGAAGGTAGAGTGTTCCCAGAGGGTCTCAGAGGGACCAGACTATGGCTGGAGGTCAGGGGACAGGATAGGTGGCTGGTTGGCTTCCTTCCCACACAGAGTGCACTTTGCCCTAGGGGGTGGTACTCTAGCTTCCGACAGGCCCCCTGGCCGGGCCAATGAACTAGCCATCATTGGGGAGGGACCTGGGGAGGAGTGAGCGGGATGGTTTCTTATTTTTCAGCCCTCAAAGCCTCCTTCCCAGGTAGTTAAGACTCTAGAGCTTCCTCTTTCCGGGCTGTTCTGTTCGGCTCTTTTCCGCCTCTCTCCCCAGGTACCTGCACCCCCCACCCCCACCCCGCACCTGCTGCGGGGTGGGAACGTCTAAAGCAATCCCAGGCGCCGAGTGAAAGGAGTCTCCACCCCGCCCCCTGCGCTTCCTTCTCCCCGACGCCTCTCCGGCCCCGCCCCCACCTGCCCAGGATAATTTTAGTTTCCCTGGCCTGGAATCTGGACACGCAGGGTTCTCTCCACCTCCTCCCGCCTCAGCATCCAAAGTTAGGATACACGGCTTCCCCCATCCCCACCTGTAGAGAGGAGGGAGTGGACTTGATAGCAAATCCAGGTATCTGGGGGTCCCTGGTCAGAGCCAGACTTTGGGCCCAGTATCCTGCTTCTTCGGGGGTTCCTCCAGGTAAGCGGACCGAGATCCGGCTCAGAGGACAGTCTGCTCCTACCACCAGCCTTACCAGGGCCTCGGACTGTGCCCACCTGGGGTAGACCTGGCGGGTTGCCCAGGTAGATGGCCTGGAGGCCGCCGGGCTCCCCAGTCCTTCCCGGCTCGGTGAGGTCAGGCTAGGGGCGGGGAAAAGAGGGGGCAGGTGGGTAGGGCCTGGTTTTCCCTCCCTAAACCGGTGGCCTCAGGCAGGTGTGCGGACGTCCAAGGTCCAGGTAAGGAACTGCTTGGGGGTGGATGCCAGGCAGGTCTGGGGCCATAAGGAAAGATTCCTTTTCCGGCGGGTCGGTGGCGGCCTCACTTTCTCATCCGGCCCCTTCCTCACCGTCCGCCCCCCAGGCCTCCCTGGTTTTCATTGCATTTCCTGCGCTCCGCACTCCCTCTTTCTCTCCCTTACCAGTGCACCTCCCCCCAACACACGTAAACCTGCGGCTGCGGATGGGAGGTGAGGTCTCCGGTGGCTTCCCGGAGGCCCGGCTTTCCCACTGAAACTAGCCCTTCCCATTTAGCCAGCCCAGGGTCCGATCCTGAGGTTGCCCTTCGCGCCTTGCGGAGCCCATCTCCCAGGTCTACGAGCACGCTTTCCCAGTCACTCTCCAAAGGGATTACAATGCGGACAGCCTAGGAAAGGGGCTCCCCGCGTTGCATTCCCTGTTTGGAGACACTGCGTCCTGCCTTCCTGGGGATGTTGGGGAGAGGCGGGCTGGGGATCCGTCCGGGCTGCAGATGGAAGCACAGAGAAGGCTGGAGGGGTGGGTGCTGGGAACAGGGTCTGCAGTGCAGGGGGCGGAAAGGGAGCGTATGGCAGGCGCGTCCCTGAGGACGAAGCCGGAGAAAGAACCACGACTGGGTGTTAGTCTCTGAGGCAGATTGGGACAGAATGCACCTGTGGCCTAGGTGGAGGTATTCCCTACCTCCTGGACTCTTCTCTCCCCCTAATATTGTGTGTGTGTGTGTGTGTGTGTGGTGTGTGTTGTGTGTTGTGTGTGTACACACCACCCCAGAGGCAAAATAATGATTAACTTCTCAGGGGAAGCTCCAGCATTCTTCCCAAATTAAACTTTAAAAGAGCTGCCCGCCCCTCTTTCTCTCATTGGGTGTTTTTTTCTGAGGAAGTGGGCGGAGCATCAACTTTGGGTCACCGAACGGTTTCCCACCTCCTTACTTGGGGCCCCGCACCCCCAAAGGTTATTAAGATTCTCTCCCTAGCAAGCCCTGATGGGGTCGGGGGTGGCCTGGTGTACTGGGCCAGACCCGGACCTCTGGCCACTCAGGCCCCCGTGCCCAGTTCTCTGACCCTCCAGCCCTTCCCCCAAACCTGGAAAAGATGGACGGTGGCCTTGTTTTCTGTTGGCCCCAAACTCTAGGCCCTGCCACTCAGCCTTGGGGCCAGCCAGGTGGGGCAAGATTCAGGAAGTAAACAGGCAGCTGGGAGGGTGGGGCGGGGAGCCTCTAGGGCTGAAGAGCCACAGTTTGCAGTGGCCTTCTTGAGAGGACAAGTAGATTTGGGGGGCCAGTTTCTCCAACAGAAAACTGGGACCCTATTTTGAACGTTTCAGACCTCTTGAGGGGGAAGCTTCCAGGCCCACAGCAGGCCCCCATATCCCACCTTATGTCTTGGGGTCCTGATTGCCCTTCTCCATCTGATGGGTAGGGTGGAGGGGATTGAGAGACTAACCTCTGTCTCTAGTTTGCACCAGTGCCTCTGACATGAGGCTCTAATCTCACTTGAATCCACTTCCTTCCCTCCCAAACCCTGCTCTCCTGGCTGTTCTCTCTGAGGGAGGGGTGTCTCCTGTAGACCCTTCCCCAGCCCTACCAGAAATGAGAAGTGAGATGGGTGGGCCTAGGGGCTGGTGTCCCCTTGTGTCTGCAGATGCTGGCTGTCAGGTATGTCTTGCCCTACTTGGCTCTCTAGGGATTTGGGGGAGGTTTTCCCTATCTGCCAGCCTGTCCTCTTCCATGTTTTGACTCCATTCCTACCTGGTGGTACCCCATAAGTCAAGACACCCCAGAGTGTGCTTAGAGACCCTCTTCCCCAAAGTGATATGTATGAGTGGGAGGGTGTGGGGGTCAGATGCATTCTGGAGGTAGTCAGCAAGGAGAGCCCCAGACCCTGGGGTAAGCAGGGCTGGATGCTGCTTGCACATCACAGGGAGGTGAGTTCCACTCCAGACAGGGCTCTGGATCCAGGCCGGGCATTTCCTCTCTCTTTCCTAGACTGTGGGTAGGGAGGTGGCTTTTGGGACTAGAGGTGGGCAGATTGTGGGTCCCACCTGGGACCTGGACTGGAGGCTGGCCAAGGGTGGGGAGGGTGATGTCAGAGGGACCTCAGGCTTCTCCACCTTCCCAGGTCCCCTCTTGCTCCCAGGCTACCTGTACTTTGGGGGTGGGGAGTTGAGAGCAGAGGCAGGTTGTTTGTGTTCCTCTTCAGCCAGGAAGTCCTGTGGATGAGTCAAGGTTGAATGGAGAGCCTGGGGCAGAGCTGTCCCGCCCCGCCCTGACTCACCTGTCCCCCAGATCTCTTCATGCCCTCTTGGAAGGGTCAGGTGCTTGCCCCATCCTGATGGGGCGAACCTTCCCAGGTGCCCTGGGTAGCCTCACAGTCCTGGTCTGGAGAGCAGGCTGGGGGCTGGTGTTGGCATTCTCTGGGTCCAGGCTAAGCACAAAGGGTTCCTGCAGAGGAGGGCCAGTGCTGCCTTTAACCCCAGGAGGTTTCTTTACTTTTTCTCTCCTGCCCTTACTTGTTCTGGCTTCTCTGCACCTGTGGGTGCTAAGGCATAGGTGAGATTCTGGCTCAGCCTGGGGGTGCCAGGTGCTTTCAGATCAGAGAGTGGAATAGGAGAGGTGTGCAATAATGGAGGCAGAGTCTCCAGGCTCTGTGAAGCTGAGTGAGCTAAATGGTCTGAGTGAAGCAAATTCAGGAAGACTTCTCAGAGGAGAAGGCTTTGGCATTGAGGCTTCAGAAAAGAGTTGGTCAGGATAAGGTTTGGGGGCTTCTGGGTTAAGAGCCCCCAAGCTAGGCCTTCCCCCACCATGACTTCGGTCCACTCTCCTGCTCTCCTGGCTCCTGCCCTTTGCCACCGTCTCCTCTCCTTCTGCCTATCACTCATCACTTGGCTAGGCATTGCCACAACAGGCTTGGCAACTGCATCTGGCAACAAAGTGCTAGAACAACAAATCACTGGGAAAACCTGGGGCAGAGCCCAGAGGAATGAGCAGCCTTTGCCCTGACCCTGTGGCTGTAGCAGGAGATAGAGTGGAACAGTGCCTGCCCTCTCTTCTCCTTTGGCTGGAGAAGCTTTGGCTGGAAGCAGAGCACTGGTCTTGGAGTTCAAGCCCCAGATTGGTTGTCATAGGGAATATGTATGCTTCCTTTCCAGGGTCTCAGTGTTCCCATTTGTAAAATGGACACATTCTGTCCTCTTGAGGGCTCAGGGGAAACCAGTTTAAGGGGATCAATGGCAGTGTGTGAGGTCAGCAGGGCTGGGTACTCTGGGCTGCTGTCCCAGGTCAGTGTCTCTGAGAGACTGTACACAGCACACACCCCTCCTTCACAGATGTCATGGAGCTGGATCTGAGCCCTCCTCATCTCAGCAGCTCCCCAGAAGACCTGTGCCCTGCCCCTGGGACCCCTCCTGGGACTCCCCCACCCCCTAATACTCCTCTGACAGGGGAAGTGAAGCGATCCCAGCCTCTGCCCATCCCGAGCAGCAGGTAGGATGGGGCAATGGGGCCAGGTGTGTGTGTAGGCTTGGGTGGAGGGAGGCCAGAGCTGGCTCAAGCAGAGCCCTTCCTCTGTCACTCTTCTCCATAGGAAACTTCGAGAGGAGGAGCTGCAGGCAAGCTCTCTGCCCTCCATACCCAACCCCTTCCCTGAGCTCTGTAGTCCACCTTCACAGACTCCCATTCTTGGGGGATCCTCCAGTGCAAGGGGGCTGCTTTCTCGAGATTCTAGCCGCCTACATGTGAGTTGTCCTGGGAAATGGGAAGGCAAGGACAGGGTTGCTTTGGGCCTGAGGTGTAGGTGGGCATCTTAGTCCCTAAATATAGAACAAGTAGGGGCTAGAGAGACAGCTCAGCGGGTAAGAACACTGTTCTTGCAGAAGACCTGGGTTCATATCCCAGCACCCACATGGCAGCTAACAACTGTTGGTAACTCTAGTTCCAGGGAATTCCACAGCCTCTTCTGACCTCCACGGGCATTGCGCGACACGGGTGCACTTACCTACATGCAGGCAATATGCTCATACACATAAAATAAAAATAATAAATAAAATATTTTTAAAATAGAGCAAGTGGGAAATAGCCTTACGCCCAAATCACCTGAATTTCCTGGGGTTCAGGTGGTAAAGGTGTACAGTGAGGATGGAGCCTGCCGGTCTGTGGAGGTGGCAGCAGGTGCCACAGTTCGCCATGTGTGTGAAATGCTGGTGCAGCGAGCTCATGCCCTGAGTGATGAGAACTGGGGGCTGGTGGAGTGCCACCCCTATTTAACATTGGGTAAGCTGATACAAGGAACTGGGGGGCAGTGTCTCATGTCTTGGAGCAGACAGGGAGCTCATTTGTGAGATCTAAACCCTGCTTTTTGCCCTTGTCATCAGAACGGGGTTTGGAGGATCATGAGTGTGTGGTGGAAGTGCAGGAGACCTGGCCTGTCGGTGGAGACAGCCGCTTTGTCTTTCGGAAAAACTTCGCCAAGTATGAACTGTTCAAGAGCTCCGCAGTGAGTGTGTGTCAGGAGAATCTCGGTACAGACAGACACACACCCGTGCACATACACACAGCATGCACACACATACACACATGCGCACCTATGCCTGAATCCCCAACCTGGACCCTTGAGCTCTGATCCCTGATCCTTTCTCCCCCAGCATTCCCTTTTTCCAGAAAAGATGGTCTCCAGCTGTCTGGATGGACATACAGGCACATCCCATGAAGACCTTATCCAGGTGAGAGGCACAGCTCACATCACCATGTATTCACAACACCCCAGAATCATCCAGTGTTTCTCCCCTCTGCAGCCATGTGCATCCCCCTGTGACAGTATACATAACATTCTTGCCTGTTAAATGGAGGCAGTCAGTGCTGGCAGATACTCCTCCTCCAGAGGCCTGAGGGTCAGGAGAGCAGAGGCAGACCCTTCACTCTTCACTCCTCTCTGTCCTCAGAACTTCCTGAATGCGGGCAGCTTCCCGGAGATCCAGGGCTTCCTGCAGCTGCGGGGTTCAGGCCGCAAGCTCTGGAAACGCTTTTTCTGCTTTCTGCGTCGCTCTGGCCTCTATTACTCCACCAAGGGCACCTCCAAGGTGAGGTTTTGAGGTGCCAGCTCCAGGCCCTCACACACCTTTTCCTCACTGGAACTCCTGGACCCTCCCACTCTTGGGCCCAGGGCCCCAAAGCTGCCCCTCCTTCCCCTCTGGAACTGGCTACCTCCATCCATCCATACCCACACCTCCTTACCCCAGGTCTGGCTCACCTACTCCAGGACATGGCAGTAGAAAAGGCAGATGGCTTGAATCAGCTTCGTGTGTGTGTGTGTGTGTGTGTGTGTGTATACATGCATGTGCAAGTTTGTATATATATACACAAGTGCTGAGATTAAAGGTGTGCGCCACCAAGCCTGGCAAGTTTGGGTATATTTAGGTGCAAGTATGTGTGTAGGTAGGTGTATGTATGTGTGCAGTTGTGTGTGTGTGTGTGTGTTTGGAGGTCAGAGGTCAGCTTCAGGTAGACGTCTTCTGGGGCTGTCTACCTTGTTTTTGCTACAGGGTCTCTCACTGGGACCTGAGACTTATAGATTAGGCTAGGCCAGCTGGCCAGAGAGCCCCAGGGATCCTCCTGTCCCCACCTCCTCAGCATAGGATTACAAGTGTGTGGCACCACACCCAGCTCTTTTTGGTGCTGGAGATTGAACTCAGGTCCTCAGGTTTGCACAGCAAGTACTTTTTCAACTGAGCCATCTTGGCAGCCTTCAACTTCTAGTTCCATTTGCTATGTGACCATGGGTACTTCCTTGCCTCTCTCTGGTCTTAAAATCTCCTTACCTGGTGGGCACTAGTATAGAGACAGAATATGCCTGTACCAAGTCCTACTTCTTTGTGCTGCTCAGGATCCAAGGCACCTACAGTATGTGGCAGATGTGAACGAATCCAATGTGTATGTGGTGACCCAGGGCCGCAAGCTCTATGGAATGCCCACAGACTATGGCTTCTGTGTCAAGGTGAGGACCCTGGCCTGGCCTGGCCTAGGGGAGGGCAAGAGCTGCCTAGGTTCCAGTGTCCTACCTGTGGTTTTTGAATTCCATCTTGGGGACCCAGGCTTTTCTCTCCACACCAGCACTGCTGGGTAGTTCTTGGGTCCTGCCCTGTCCCATAGTCACTATGCACAGACATCTGTTCCCCAAAGCAGAGAGGGATAACGTACTTTCTCTCCCACAGCCCAACAAGCTTCGAAATGGCCATAAGGGGCTTCGCATCTTCTGCAGCGAGGATGAGCAGAGCCGTACCTGCTGGCTGGCTGCCTTCCGTCTCTTCAAGGTGAGGCCATGGGGGTAGCAGGGGGCGTTTGAGGGGGTTGGCACAGCTCTGCCCTCAGGAAGTCTTCCCAATGAAGAGGTCACCACAGCCTGGTTCTATGAGAATCCCTGTTGGGAAATTCCTATCGAAGGGGCAGGCTCAACTCTGCTCTGGGGGAGTCTTGACGTGGGGTGTCACAGCCCATCCCCCAGGCTTTCCTGACTGCAAATCTTTCTTGCCCTATACCCAGTATGGGATGCAGCTCTATAAGAATTACCAGCAGTCCCAGTCTCGCCACCTGCGCCCATCCTATTTGGGATCTCCACCCTTGGTGAGTGTGTAAGGGGGTACCGGGAGAGGTGGGTATGCAGACTCAAGGCAGTTGTTCTGATCTTGCCTGTCCCCATCCTGTCCTCTCTCCAGAGAAGTGTCTCGGATAATACTCTGGTGGCCATGGACTTCTCTGGCCATGCTGGGCGGGTCATCGAGAACCCTAGGGAAGCTCTCAGTGCAGCCCTGGAGGAGGCCCAGGCCTGGAGGGTGAGCACACATCTGTGTGTCTGCAGCACCTGCTCCCAATGGGCCTTTGTGGAGTAGGAGGGAGAAAGGGGTTGGGGAGGCTCTAGCTGACTCCCATGTCTCTCACCACTCCACAGAAGAAGACAAACCACCGCCTCAGCCTGCCCACCCCGTGTTCTAGCTCCAGCCTCAGTGCAGGTGGGTAACAGCTTAGAGTCCCCAGGGTGGGCTTCATTATTTAGTATTTTTGACAGGGATGGGAGCTCCCTTCCCTGAGTGATTGGCTATCTCTTTCCCCCATCACAGCTATCCACCGTACCCAGCCCTGGTTCCATGGACGCATATCCCGAGAAGAGAGCCAGCGGTTGATTGGACAGCAGGGCCTGGTGGATGGGTAAGGGGCAGGACTGGGTAGGGTAACAGACCAGGGGACCAGAGAGACCCTAGGATAGGAACAACCACAAATCCTTGATAATGTTGCTGCTCTGTCTTCCCAAAGTGTGTTCCTGGTCCGGGAGAGCCAGCGGAATCCACAGGGCTTTGTCCTGTCCCTGTGCCACCTGCAGAAAGTCAAGCACTATCTCATTCTACCAGTGAGTGAATCGCCCCCCTCCACCCCAACTTCCCAGATTCGTGCAACCAGGGGATGCATGACTTGAAGTTCCCAGTGTGCCTCCTTTCTCCCCGTGCACAAAATGGAGACCTAATCCCTGGCCCTGAGCCTGGCTGCTCCCTGCTGACCTTCTACCTTCCGGTCATACCTCAGAGTGAGGACGAGGGCTGCCTCTACTTCAGCATGGATGATGGCCAGACCCGCTTCACAGACCTGCTGCAGCTTGTGGAGTTCCACCAGCTGAACCGTGGCATCCTGCCCTGCCTGCTGCGTCACTGCTGTGCCCGAGTGGCCCTCTGAGGCCACCTGTGTCATTTCAGCTTGTGGGGCTGCCCACCACCCCTCTGCTCAGTGGACTTGGAGGGCGCAGGTGGGTGGGCTGTTGCACAATTGAGGGGTTCTCCAACCCCACTTTTCTCATCTGCTTCTTTGCCTCCCCACCACTTTGTCCACTCTGGACCCCTGTCTACTCAGGAGGTGCTTGGTGGTCCTCTTCACTTAGTGGAATTCCTGAGGCACTGCTAATGCCCCAGTGAGGGGCAGTACCAGAGAAATAGTGCAGCTTAGGTAGCTGCAGGTGCCACACTTTGTACAGACTGAGAGGCCAGTTGATCTGTTCTGTTTTATACTAGTGACAATAAAGATTATTTTTTGATACACCTATTAGTTCTATCTGGAGAGATTTGGCTAGCTCTGTCAACAAGAGGACTAGACACAGCTGAGTGTAGTGGCACACACCTTTAATCCCAATGCTCGGGAGGCAGAGGCAGGTGGATCTCTGGGAGTTTGGGGCTAGCCTGGGCTACATAGTGAGACCTTGTCTCAAGAAGACAAAAGAAACACAAATAAAAACCATGAACCCTCCCCCCCCAGAAAACAACAAAGCAAAACAAACAAAAAAGACCAAACAAGGTGAAGACCACGGTGGACCAGGATGTGCCTAGCATGTACCCTGGCACAGCCTAGGTCCCCAGTCAAGTTGGTTAAATGAATAAATGGGGTAGGGAACAACAATGGACCTAACAGAGCCTGGGAACTGGAGATGAGCCAGGGCCAGCCTGGGCTACATGAGACTCTGCCTCACCACCACTCACTGCAAACAATAAAAAAAGATGAGTCCACAGCAAATCCTCATTTAGCTGGTAGACAGTCCTGACAAGCACCATGGCAAAGAGGGATTGGCCTCACCTTCAGCAAGTCTCTATGTCTGCAGCCAAAGCCCCTCCCTCTTTCCCACCCCAGATCTGCTTTCTGTCCTTATAGATAGCCACAGAAAGGCCATGAACGCCCAGCCTAGCTTCCCTCTCCAGCCCAGCCTTCAATAGGGAGTGACTGAGAAGTGCAAACCTGCCCACTGCTTAGTCGGGCTGTGTGAGTTTCATAACCGGAGCTCTAACCCAATGGGAACTTTATAACGAGCATATCTAACAGTAACACCTGAACCTCCAGGTAGAATTGCAGAGACACGTCTTCTTGAATTCAAACCCAAGAAGGCATTATTTTTGCAAAAAAAAAAAATCGAACTTGAGGAGCCTGAGAAGGCTCAGCAATTAACATTGGCAGCTCTTGCAGAGGACCTGGGTTCAATTCCCAGCACCCACACAGTAGCTAGCAACCATGCCTAACTCCAGTTCTAGGGGATCTGATTTCCAGCCCTCCTCTGACTTCCTTGGGCATTACACAGCATGGGTGCACTTACATACATGAGGCAATACACTCACACACATAAAATAAAAATAATAAAGTATTTTTTAAAAATCAAGGGACACTGGGCGTGGTAGCGCACGCCTTTCATCCCAGCACTCAGGAGGTAGAGGCAGGCAGATCTCTGTGAGTTCAAGGCCAGCCTGGTCTACATAGCGAGTTCCAGGTCAGCTGGGGCTACAAGGGAGACCCTCTCAAAAAGACCGGAAAAAAAAAAAAAAAATCGAGGGACTCAAGAGACGGCTCAGCTGTTAAGAGCAATGGCTGCTCTTTCAGAGGACCCGGGTTTGATTCCCAGCACCCACATGGTGGCTAACAAAGTCCTGTCTGTAATTCCAGTTCCAGGGGATCTGACACCCTCTTGACCTCCTCAGGTCATTGCATGAGAGGGGTGCACTCACATATGTGCAGGCAATACACTCACACACATAAAATAAAAATAATAAACAAAATGTAAAACAAAATCAAATGAATCTGATTCCTTGGATCTAATGACTAGTTTACCAGAAATACAAGGATTGGAGGAATGTTTGAAATGGTACATGGGGACCAACTGCTAAAATCTGGACTGGGAAACTACAGTTTCTACGAAAACAACAAGAAAAAAATCTTAAGAAAAGCAAAGATGGAGTATCTAGATTCCAAGAAATTTAGACACATTAACTGAATGTTATGCATTGACCTTAGATGATTCAAATCCAAACTGACTGTAAAATACATTCATGAGCAATTGGGGGAAATTTGAACTCTAACAAGATATCTGATGATATTAAGGGAAATGGTTAACTTTTTGAGGTGTGGTAATGGTATTGTGGTTTGTTTTTTTCTTTAAAAGAATTATTCTAGCTGGGCGTGGTAGTACACACCCAGCATTCAATCTCAGCACTGAAATGTTCCAGGCAAGCCTGGGCTACAGAGTGAGACTGTATCTGAAAAAAACAAAATCAGAGAGAGAGGAATTTAAAAGATTATAAGTGAAATGACATGATGTCTTCACTTCATATTAGAAAAGATCTAGATGAGCCAGGCATGGTGGCGCAGGCCTTTAATCCCAGCCCTCGGGAGGCAGGGGCAAGTAAATCTCTGTGAGATCAAGGCCAGCCTGGTCTATGTAGAGGCCAGTGGGTTCCAGGCCAGCTGAAGCTACAGGAAGACTTTACCTCAAAAAAAGTAAAATATAGCCAGGCGTGGTTGTACATACCTTTAATCCCAGCACTTGGGAGGCAGAGGCAGGCGAATCTCTGTGAGTTCAAGGCCAGCCTGGTCTACATAGTGAGTTCCAGGACAGCTGGGGCTACTGGGAGACCCTGTTGCAAAAAGACCAAAAAAATAAAAATAAATAAATAAAATATAAATAAATCAACCAACTCAGATGAAGGGAAAGAATAAGAGGTTGACCGCGAGTTGACACTAATTGAAGCTAGGTTTCATTCCTCTCTCTACTTTTGCATATGCCTAAACATTTCACAACTTTTTAATAAGGAAGAACCTTGAGACTGATGGAACACTAGGTGAGGAGACAGTCCCTTTGCCAGCCACATCGCCCCATTGTCCTGGCTGAAAAGAAATCCTGGTTCTTCCATGAACTGAGATTTAGGGGTAGGACAGAGACGACAGTCAGGATTTATACCCAGGTCTGTGTGACCGGTCTGGGCACATTCTATTCCCCCAGCTGACTTCCAGATGTGTCTCCTAAGCTGCAGTAGAAGCATTTGTGAGCTGTGGGGCAGTCCTCTATGGGGAGATCATCCTCCTCTATAGTCCGGATGTCTGCTGTCGGGTTGACCTAAGATGACCTGAGACAGTCCAGCCACTTCAATGAGTACCTGGGCCAGGTTTGGCAGTTCTGGTGGCCACTTGGGACCAAGCCACCCCGTGCCTGGCTAACTCAGAGTGGCAAAGAGACCCCTTCCAAATGCCTGCCTGCCTGGAGCCTGCTGAGACTTCCCCTTGCAGGACTTGGCTGCAGATCTGCGTTTTTTTAGGACTTGAGGCAAGAACCAGTGCCCTTACTGCTGGCCACCTGCCACAGCCCCCAGAACCAGCCCTTCCACTGGCTGTTCTTCAGGTTTGGAACTGGCCTGTGCTGGTGGTGTGAGTGTTCATGAATCCCAGAACTGAGGTCTGAGTGCCAGGGTTCCAGTAAAGGGACCAAGACACACCACCTTTTAAGCATGTCTGAGGAGTTAGGCTACATCCTAAGAAAACCCAGTATCCCCTCACCACCCAAGGCACCAGCTAACCAGAATCTCTGAGAGACAGTTGTTTTCCATTCTGCTTTACAAATGGAAAACTGAGGCTCAAAATGAGAGTGACCCAGCTAGAATGAGATGCAGTCAGGCCAGGCTGCAGATGGTGGATGCACTCTTCCCTACCCTTTGTCCTCTGATTCCTTAATGTCAGTGCTAGCCCCAATGGATCTGGGAAGCTCAGAGTCCTTGTACTTGGCTCCATCTGGCCACAGACTGGACGCTGGAGACCAGCAGCTGGACATCCTGAGTAAGTGGCTGGGATTTTTGGCTTCTTGGAGAAGATGCAGCAACACAGTATGGAGGTCAGGGCCCCTGGAGGCCAGCTTCCAGAGGGACCCTGGGCAAGACAGATTGTGGGATGCCTGCTGCCCTACCTTCAAGACTGCAGCATGATCTACTGAAGCCAGACAGTAAGTAGAAGGTACCATTAGAGGCAACTGTAGCCTTATAGGTCTGAGGAAATCTGGCTGATGGCAGGGCAGCAGGGGCTATTTTATTTTATTATTATTATTTAATTTTTTTACTTATTATTTTTATTTTATGTGTATGTGTGTATTGCCTGCATGTAGGTCAGTGCACCCGTGTTATGCAATGCCCTCAGAGGTCAGAAGGGGCTGTCGGATCCCCTGGGACTGTTATCTGCCATATGGGTTCTGGGTTTTGAACCCGGGTCTTCTGAAAGAACAACCGGTGTTCTTAACCACTGAGCCATCTCTCCAGCCCCTATTTTATTATTTTTGAGAAAGGGTCTGGGTCTCAGGCAGCCCAGATCAGACTTGAATTCACTATGTAGTCAAGGATGACATTGAACTTTTCATCCTCCCGTCTACCTCCTGAGTGGTGTGATTACAGGTGTGTACCTCCACACCATTACTAACAAGGCCTCTTCTAGTGGAGAAGATAGGGGCTGGGACTTTAGATGCTGTCTTTTCAAAAAGTATTTATTGGATTTGATTATTATTATTTTATAGACATTTTATTTTTACCTTATGTGTATGAGTATATTGCTTGCATGTGTGTTAAGTGTACCCACGTTGTACAATGCCTGTGAAGGTCAGAAGAAGGTGTTGGATCCCCTGGAACTGGAGGACGGTTCCCAGCCACCATGTGGGTGCTGGGAACTGAACCCAGGTCCCCTGCAAGAGCAGCCAGTGCTGAACCAGCTCTCCATCCAGAGATCAGAAAAAGACTTCTGGAAGAAGTGGAAATTTCTCATAGCTTCTCCAATCTTAGAAAGACCCAAACATTGAGACAGAATGATGCAGGACCCATGTCCTGGGAGCTGGCCTTGCAGTACCTTGCAGACACTAATGTCCAGTGGCTAGCATGGCTGGTGCAAACATAGAGCCAGGGGCACTGTGGGTCTGTAGGGTAGGCATGCTGTGAGAGTCTGGCTGCAGTGCTGGCTGCTCTGCCTGCTGAAGTGTGGAGGACATGGGAACTGGTCCACCTATCTGGACTTTAGGAATGGGGGCCAACTCCTCCTGGGGCCTGCAGTCAAAGCTCAAAGCTCTGGCCATTCCTCATTCTCCTTTCAACATCATATCATGTTCAGTGGAGTACCTGTGCAGTCTCCACAGTGAGTGGTGTGGAGCCTCCTGCAAAGTCAAGTCAGGGTCTCTGCTCTGATCCTGGTTCCTTCCTCAAGCCCAGGATTGTGCCTGAGAAAGGATGGAGAAGGCAGGATAGGACTCAGGTAGTGA